GTCAAAATCCATATTTCTGAAAATTGGGAAAGGCGGAATGTGCCTTATCTCGAGTCGGTCAACTTTTCCAACTACGTCGACGGACAAAAACGGATCGAAGTCGCCCAAAATCCACTTTTCTTCCTTTTTCCTTCATTTTTCTCTCTCCTCAAAATTTTTTCTCTTCAAAAAGATCTCAAACAAATATATACAAAATAGGATCGTACAGGACGATTCATATTCGTCCCAGGACGATTTCTCCTCTGGACAAAATTCATTCAGACAAATTTGTTATCATACCTGGACGACTTGCTCTCTGGACAAATTTCATCCCGACGAACCTAAATTCGCCATGGGACGAACCTTTCTTCCCCCAGGTTTTGAACTGGGACGAAGTTGAAAAGAAAACCGGGTTTCACACTCAGCCCTTTCCGGCCAACAAATCGAGCTAGCTCCGATAAAATCCCTCCGCACTCCACTCAAAGTCGTACCTCCAGCCACCCTTCAGGCTCAACGTCTGAAGGAGAAGTGATTGCTATCTCCTTCTCAAGCTTCTTGAAAGAGAAGCTCATTCGTTGAGGTCTTTTCTGAGGTATAAACTCTAGCTTGAGCCCCTAGTCAGCTAGTATTGGTCAAGTGTGAAACAAACTGTTACCCCATCAGATTTTGACCATTGGATTAGCGGTTTGTATCTTTCTGATCCTTCCCTTGAAATTTGATGCAAATTCATCGCTAGTATCGTCTGGGTTATGTCGGAAAATTTTTATGGCTTTGGAAGACAACATAAGGTTGAAGACGTAATCCCAACCATTGAACTCAATCAACAGCTCGGATGAGATCCTGTAGTTTTGAAGCCCATTAATCGCATTTGTCCGATCGCTCATCCAATGGCTACTATTTAGCCCGTGTTTACATAGTCTGCCACTAATGATTAGCTGATCAATCAGGAGGCGCTTGTGTGGAAACCACGGCTAACTGTGTAAACCCCACATTTAATTCCATGGGAAATTATGGGAAACTTCAAAAAATTAGATCTCCTCACACACTTATCCAATTTAGGTGTTCTTAAATTCATTGAAAAGGTCTTGAGGAGACCCATCAAAGCCCTATGGTCTCATGCCCTAATTATTACAATGTTATTCTCAATTTTAATTTAAACATTTATGGTATTATTGCATTTATGTGTTCAATTAATGTCACCATGGCTTGAGATTTAAGGGATTGAATTTGGACATGTCCCTGACATGTCCAAAGTTTGTCCCCTCTGTTTGAGGTGTTTAAGAGCATGTTCATGCTAATTTAGGCTTAGGGGTCAAGGTTTAACCCCTATGTTCAAATTGATTCTATGATATTTCCTATGGAATTTAGGATCTAATTTTGGGTGTGTTAATTTTGCATAGTCTATGGAGTTTAGAACCACTGACTGCATCCACATCCAAGCTTAGGGTAGTGACTTAAGAATTTTTTAAGGTAACATAAATGTTACTTTATGTGGTTTGGTTAACCACCATAGTGACTTCCATTTGGGCCCAAATTTAAGGGAATCAGAACTTGAGATTAGATAATCTCAAGGTCTAAAACTCAAGAGATTTGGTGCTCATTTGGTCCACCAACTAGTAACCTCAAAACCCCTTCCTAGATTTGGCCTAGAATCTTAATTAATTCACTATTAATTCATGCTAAATCTAAAAAATTCATATAAGGACTTTAATTAACCCTTAGTCCATGAAAAATAAACGACCCCATTAGATTACCCCTAATTTAACCTTAATTTAATTTCAAAGGAAAATTAATAATTAATTCAATTAATTTAAAAATATTTCAAAATTTAAAAAAAAAAAATCCTAAATGCTTGAAAACATCCCCTTAGGTCATTCCTGGCCTTTGGGGTGATTCAAAGAGGTTTTGGATGATTTTGATCAAAATCTAAAAGTCCCCTTAATTAGACAATTTAAAAAAATATCCAAAAATACCCAAACTTTGAAAAGATACCAATTATTTTAGAAAAATTCAATTTAATCAAAATCAAAGCCATTTAACTCAAATTAAAATCTAGTATTTTCTATAATGAGATGAGAAGTTAACTTGGCCTAGATCTTAATTCAACAAATCTTTTAAATGATATCCATTGTTAATTATTTTGGCTAAAAAAATTAAATAAGAAAATTTAAAAATGATGTTAGGAAGAGAAGGAAGCAAGGAAGAGAAGGAGGAGTCTCCTCCTCGACCACGGCCAGACTTTCACCTGGCAGTCTACCAACGTCGGAGTTCTACACCAATGACATCTAACACCAGAGTTCTGCCCGACTGCCGACTGACATCAGAGTTATACCCGACGCCAGACCTCGACTCGTCGTTGGACTTCTACCCGATGCTGGACTTCTATCGGTCGCCATACTTTCGCTTAACTTCTATATGACGTCAAACTTCTGTCCATCGACATACTTTTATCCAACGCCAAACTTGCACCCGTCGCCTGATTCCTATAGGACATAGGACTTTCACCCTTCTCTAGATTCCTACCCAATGCTAGACTTCTGCTCGTCATTGAATTCATGTTAGACGCTGCACTTCCGCCAATCACCGGAATTCCGTCGGACTTCTACCCGTCACTAGATTTCTGCTCGTTGCTGGACATTCGTCAGACTTCTATCCGACACCAGACTTATGTCCATCACTGGACTTCTTACCTGACGTCCTCGTTTCGACCTCATTCGTTAGACAGCAGTCTTTATGTCCACCATAGCCTTCCAACCACGGTCCTTCTGACTTAAAATCGTCCACCGACTACAGTCCTTCCGACCTACGTCGCCTGTCAACGGTATTTATGACCTCTGTCGATGTCGGCCATCGACTACGGTCCTTCTGACTTACGTCGTCCACCGACTACAGTCATTCCGACCTCCAACGCCCACCTAATTTCAGGTCCGAGCAAGGCAACTAGAATGGAGTTCGATCAGAATGTCAGACGAATCCTTTCACTATGGATGCCTGGGGCATCACACCCTATCCTCAATTGTTAGTCGTATGTACGATCCAATCTGCCCTTCCAATCGATCCGTTTGCGCAGTGCTCTTTTCGGAGGTCCACATTGTCGGACTCCCAACAGCTTTTTTGTGATGTCCCAGAATATAAATTGGAATAATTATTCATTTATCTTTTAAATAAACAACAACTAGAGATATCTAATATCATCAATCAGTAAAAAATAGTAAAATGGATTCTATAATTTAAAATATCAACGTACACATCTAGTGCTCTTTTCGGAGGTCCACATTGTCGGACTCCCAACAGCTTTTTTGTGATGTCCCAGAATATAAATTGGAAGAATTATTCATTATCTTTTAAATAAACAACAACTAGAGATATCTAATATCATCAATCAGTAAAAAATAGTAAAATGGATTCTATAATTTAAAATATCAACGTACACATCTATATTCATTCCTAAAAATTATATACAGTACTCATGACTATAACAAAAATAAACAGAACTTGAAGAATCCTAGTCAGCCTCACACTCATGCTTTCCTGCCATGATCTAAAATTATTTAACCATATATAATGAGCTTAAAAAGCCTGGTAGGTCACTAAAACTTATAATTAAATTTAAAGCACGGTAAAGGAGTAATATGTATATCAACAGTCAAATCATAATAGTTACATTCATATGATCATTGAATCAGTGTAGAAATAATAAAATTTAGATGCAGTAGTAGTAGAATCTATAAACAGTACAAAAGATGGTTAAGTAGTAAACCATTATGAGTATAAAATCTATAAGGCAATTATTATATTCGTAATACCAATAAGTAAAGAAATTGGATAAAGCATTGAATCAAAACATCATTAAAGATAATTGAAATCAAATCAATGTTGAGAAATTATATAAGAATGTACACATGCTAATCCATGCATTATATATCACGTGCTCATTATATCACATGCTTAATATCAGTACAGTGAATCAGTATCTATATTAATAACAATAACAATCAAGTGGAAGGAGCAATAGAATAATATAATAATAGCAATTTTTCCGCCTACTACTTAGTTTCTTTTTTTTTTTTTGCTTTCACTTTTCGCTCCCGCTCTGCTAGGGCTTTTGCCCTAGCTCTCTCCAGTGTGTTCTAGTGGCTGGTGTTTCACACCGTGGAGGCGCCATCTGCTTCGTTCATCCAGGGAAGTTCCTCTCTCTCTAGTGGATCTTGATTTTGTGTTTCTCTTTGGATTTTCCTTTTGGTTCTGTCCGACGTTGCCGGCATGCTGCCGAAGCTCAGTGACTCTGGTATTTTAGGGGTTTCTTCCTCTTCTCGTTCGTTTTTAGATGTCCTTGCGGGAAAGTCTAATGAACCCATTTTTTCGAAGCTTAGGGTTTCCTCTTTTCATGGTATACCCTCTCTTTGGATTTCGGAACATAAAATTTCTGCGCTTACTGCGCCTTTTCAGTTCTCTCTAGTCGGATATTTCCCATCTAAGCGTCCTTCCTTGGACTCTATTCGATGGTTTTTCTTTAATCTAAAGTTGAATGGTGAATTTTTTGTTACTTTGCTGGACCCGTCTCATATTCTCATTAAGCTCAACAACGATCTTGATTATTGTCGAGTTTTTTTCCATGGATCTTACTTAGTTTACAACTACTTTATAAAACTTACAAAATGGTCGCCCTTTGTAGATATTTGGGTCGAGTAGCCGGTTGTCCCCATTTGGATGTCTTTCCCTCAGTTGCGGCCCCATCTCTTCTCTCCCCACATTCTTCATGGCTTGGGTTTGATTTTTGGAAAGCCTATAAAAATTGATATTGCTACTTCAATTGGGTCTAGGCCATCCCTTGCTCGTGTATTGGTGGAATTAGATGTCACTAAATACTATCCTGATCGTGTCTGGTTAGGCCTTGAAGCTACTAGATATGCGCAGCATGTTGTTTTGGAGAATTTCCCTCCCTTTTGTTCTTCGTGTAAACAATTTGGGCATTTTCTAGTAATTGTAAACCTGGGGTTGACTTTTCGGTGCCTCCTAAGGTTGCTAATAAGGTTGTTATTAATTCTAAACTGATTATCTCTTCTTCTCTTATTGAGGCTGAGCGAGTGCTCTCTGTTGAACCCATTTCTTCACCTACTGCTTTGTGTGTGGAGCCTATGGTTCAGTTGGTCAATGTGGATTCCCTTCCGTCTATTTTAGTTGATGAAAATGTTGTTATTGATGTGGATAATGAAGAGAATATTTTGGGTGGTAAGGTTAATGGTGCTGATGTTATTGATGTTTTATCCCCCAACGCTTTACCTTTTGTCCCTCAAGGATTTAATTTGGCCACTTTAGATCCTATTGATGTCTCCCCTCATCCTTGTTTTAGTGATGATGGTCATGTTTGTGCTAGTCCCTTGTTGTCGGTGGTGTCTGCCCCGGCTGTTTTGGGTGATATTTCTTTAAATCATGTTGTTTTAGATTGCCTAACTGAATCTGCTCTTCCTTCTGAGAATTTGGGTGCGGGTGGTGGTGAGGTTTTTGCTACCTCCAGCTTGCCTCCTATTGTGAACGATTGTTTAGTTAATAACAACTTTATGGATGTACCTGTTATATTAATTGATCCTCCAAGCTTAGTGTATAATGTGGGGGACAATTCAGGATTGGATGCTCGTGTTCAATTGGATTGGCTTCAGGGTGCGTCAGATATTCTGATTCAGATTCTGTTTCTTTGGAATCATCTAGGGATGAGGTTGCTGGCAATTCTTTTGCCGTGTTGCGTGATTTACCACTTGTTTTTGGTGCCTCTCGTGGTAGAGCTCGTGGGAGGGGTAGACGTCGTCGGGGTTGATTTACTTGCTGGTGATGCCTTCTTGTTTTATTTGGAAGGCCTTTTGGTTGGTTTGTTATGGTATCTGTTCTTTGGGCTGCTTGGAAGATCCTGTTGATGCTGTGTGCCTTCGTGTTGACACTTTTAGTGGGCTTAATTTTTGGAGAACTATGTTTTTTGTTTTTGTGGTTGGTTGTTGAGCGGGGCAATGATGTGGCTGGGGCTCGCTTCACACTCAGTATGGCTCGTGGCAACCTTTGCTGTTGTTCTCGTCAGGACGGCTGATTTGCATTTGTTTCCACCAAATTGGACGGTCCGAGCTGTCTTTTGGGAAGCTGGGGGTCTCGTCCTTCTGCTGAGCCCACGGGCTTGTTTTTTACTTATGTTTTTGCATTTGCTTCATGTTTCTTGTAATCGCTCTTTTGATCTAATATATTATTCTATTTTGTTGAAAAAATAATAATAACAAATTTATGTAATAATAATAAATATGTACAATAATAAGAATAATACCTCAAAACATGCATTTCAGTAGTCACACTAAACAAGTACAAGTCCTAACTATCATGTTGTTTTTCAATGTTAGTATCAGTGTTAGTAAACCATTGGATCAATAAATAAAGTCGTCAATATTTGTCCGTCAACATAATAGTAATCTCTTTATTACTCACAATCAGTGTATCACGTGAATTAGTAGAGTATAACACCAAATTATATTTAATGGAAATCTCGTTGGCCCACCATATTGTACAGGTCAATCAGTCTCAAATCAACGGGTCAACCACTCTTTACTTGTTTGTTTTACACACGCATATTATTATCACAATAATATAATAGTAACAGCAACCAGCTATTGCTCAAGCACATATCCACATCCATTTATAATATATTGTAGCAGATAAAGCATAATTTAGAAATGCAAAAAAATGGCATAACGATAAACAAAAAAAATCCTATTAGGCAAAAATGCACATTTTTAAAAAATTACCAAAATAGTAGGGATTATGTAAAATAATGTTTTAAGACTTTTATTATAGTACATCATTATTTTTAAATGTTAAAATAAATTTTGGTGTAAATAAAAATCACTATATTTTCAAAATCACTTGATAAAAAATATCAGATAAATACTCAAAATACTCATAACTATGATCTCTATAACATACAAAAAATTACACGGTGAAAGTTTTGTCAATACAAAGTTATTCACTTTTTTAGTAACGAAAATACAAATTTGAGCAGAGAAAGACCAAAAATATAAAATCATTGAAATAAAAAATAATATATGGATTCATTACAGCAAGACGAGCAAATATCCCAACTGACCCAACTGATAAAAATCGCACAACACCCTCCAAATTCAAGACTTTTTCCTCTCTCCTAACTTTTCCCTCTCATTTCACTTAACTACTCTACATTGTTGAATGAAAAGGAAAAAAAATAATAAAAAGCTTACTTAAAGAATTTTGTAAAGTGGTTTAAGATATTTTAAATAAAAAATTAATATAATATTATTTAATTATATAATTTAATCAATTTCTTTAGTATATAAATCAAATAAATTATTGATCTCATTAAGACATACAAATGCCCAATAAAACGTCCATTATCAAAGGATTCAACATCGGCCGTCCAATCAAACCACTCATAATTTACCTCTTCTCTTCTTCTTATTTATTGGCTATGCCACCCTCAAAAAGTTATAAATAGACCCCTCATTTCTCATAGAAAAGTACCCCAGAGAGGAGGGGGGTTGGGGAAGGAGTCCTCAAGCAAAAAAGAGAAGAGTAGGAAGAGACTCCTCTTCGACCACTGCCGGACTTTCACCTGGCAGTCTACCGACACCGGAGTTTTGCCCGGCCGACTAACGTCAGAGTTCTACCCGACGCCAGACCTCGACTCGTCGTTGGACTTCTACCCGATGCTGGACTTCTATCGGTCGCCATACTTTCGCTTAACTTCTATATGACGTCAAACTTCTGTCCATCGACATACTTTTATCCAACGCCAAACTTGCACCCGTCGCCTGATTCCTATCGGACATAGAACTTTCACCCTTCTCTAGATTCCTACCCAATGCTAGACTTCTGCTCGTCATTGAATTCATGTTAGACGCTGCACTTCCGCCAATCACCGGAATTCCGTCGGACTTCTACCCGTCACTAGATTTCTGCTCGTTGCTGGACATTCGTCAGACTTCTATCCGACACCAGACTTATGTCCATCACTGGACTTCTTACCTGACATCGTCCTTTCGACCTCAGTCATTAGACATCAGTCTTTATGTCCACCATAGCCTTCCAACCACGGTCCTTCTGACTTAAAATCGTCCACCGACTACAGTCCTTCCGACCTTCGTGGTCTGGCAACGGTATTTATGACCTTTGTCGCCCACCGACTACGGTCCTTCCGACTTACGTCGCCCACCGACTACAGTCCTTCCGACCTTTGTCGCCCACCAGCTATGGCCCTTCCGACCAAGTGAACACGTCAATAGTGATTCTTCCTATTTTCATCTTGTAACACACTCTATATGATGTATATTTGTTACATAAAGTTATGGTCTTCCTTCCAATATAGGGCCTCATTTGTAATCAACTGCAAATAATAGTGAATTCATTCAAATTAGGCTAGACCCCATGGTTTTCCCCCTTTTCAGATATTTTCCATGTAAAATTTCTAATGTCTCCTATGAATACTCCACCCACTCTCTTCATATGTGTGCGTGCTAGATCTTCATACAATTCTAAGACCCTAAACTTTATATTTCTCCACCGCGGCGAAAACTCTAGGGCGCAGAAATTTTATAAATGTACTAATTTAACTTATTAATTTTACTAAAATATAATTTATTAATTTCACTAAATTAAAATTTATTAACTTTACTAAATTAGAATTTATTAATTTGACTTTCTAGAGCAAGAAACAGACAAATTTTTATAAAATTAATAGATTATATGAGCAAGCCGTTTATAGTAAACGACTTTTAATATTAGATATTAATTAATTTATTAATTTTATATATGATTAGGCTTTCATAAGCAATAACTAAATGAAGGTGATCATATTTCGTGTGGGGAACCCTAACAATTGTTCTTCCCCACGATGTGTTTTTTATTGTACCATTCTATAATGAGAGGAGGACTTGGCCTAGTTCTTAATTTCCCACCTTATCCTCTTTTTTTTTTTTTTTTTTTTTTTACTATATTTTTCTCTCTATTTTTCAGCAAATGCAAATAGCCCTAAGGATCTATTTGGGGATAAATAATTCTTTACAGACGTCAGACACTGTTCAGAGGCCAACAAGAACACGCCACATTACTTTTTTGCTTGGTTTCGGTGCTGGGTACCATGATGTGGCGCCTTCTGGTTGCCCTTCGGACAGTCTGGTGTCTGTACAGAATAATTTCTCATATTTTGAATAACTTTTCTTACACGGTTTGGTATGATTACTATTTTCTACCTGCTTTAAAAAAAAATTGTCTTAAGAAGCTATTTTTTTTATAATAACTTTCAAAAAATTAATTTTTTTCCATAATAGTCTTACAACTATTGTTCTGGTAAGGACAACAAGAACACGCCACATTACTTTTTTGCTTGGTTTCGGTGCTGGGTACCATGATGTGGCGCCTTCTGGTTGCCCTTCGGACAGTCTGGTGTCTGTACAGAATAATTTCTCATATTTTGAATAACTTTTCTTACACGGTTTGGTATGATTACTATTTTCTACCTGCTTTAAAAAAAAATTGTCTTAAGAAGCTATTTTTTATAAAAACTTTCAAAAAATTAATTTTTTTCATAATAGTTTTACAACTATTGTTCTGATAAGGACGGCTGCAATTTTTTGTAAAAATAATTATTAAGTAGTTGAAGAGAAAAAATAAATTTTTTTTAAAAGCCATGAAAAAGTAATTGCCAAATGGAATTAGCTCAAACAGATCATATCTTGTGGGGCTACACCTCATTACAAAAAAATTAGAAAAAAAAAAAAAACATTCAATATTTAATAGAGATCACAACTATTTACTAAAAGTATATAAAATTAAAAAAATTAATATATACTGTAATTTTAGGCACGATTAATATTAAAAATTTTCAAAAAAAAAAATTCTGCAACTGCAGGCCTGTCAGGCTGTCCTTCTCAAATTCTAAATAATTGTGAAGATTGACTTTGAGATTTTTTTATTTATTTTGGATAGAAGCTGAAGCTTCATTTCCACTATAAAAGAAAGTACTTATGAACAAGATTTTTTCATTGCATGACATAATTTTGCGAAGGAAAAAAATAAAATCATCTCAGCCATGAAGTTCAAGCTCCTCTTCATCATCATCATCTCATTCTTCCACTTCTCCCACTCCTCCCCACAAAAATTCACCTCCATTTTCAGCTTCGGCAACTCCATGCTTTGAAATTAGTGCAATGCAAAAATAATTGATTTTCAGATCAAATTAATAGGCTTTCAGATATAACTTGATCACTTTTGACCATAATATCTTAATTTTTTACACTTCATTAATCTCATTGTCTAAATATCAATTCAAACCATAGCATTTAGGAATAAATGCAATTTCTCCAATGTTTTGTTACTGTATTTTCATATGTTTTGCACGAATTTTAATGATAAAAATATATTTTTTTTTCTATGAAGGTTTTTACAGTGGGACCCAAAAAGCATGTTGTGGAAGTGGGGGCCAATATAATTTCAACCTAACGGCTCCTTGTGGAAGTGAAGGATCCCATGTATGCAAAGACCCCTCGACTTACCTTAGTTGGGATGGGCTTCACCTCACTGAAGCTGCCTATCACCATATTGCTAATGGCTTGTTGGATGGCTCCTTCACTGATCTCCCTCTTATTATCTGATTATCATTTAGTTTAAGGTTCTATTCGGGACAGTTTTTTTATTACTTTCTAAAAATATATATATTTAAGAAATAGTACGGAAGCTGTCCCAAAAGATACCAAAATTTGTCTCTCAGTATTATATATCCTTTTGTGATAATAAGGAAATAAATTTTACTGTTTATCACATTTTATTTTTATTTCTTTTCAATAAGTTCAATATATTTTGATCATTGTATGAGTAGCAATCATGTAATTTAATTATTTTGCTCAATAAAAATATCATGGGGGACTCATTTTCTAAGTATTTTTTGATGAAAATTTTGGTATTCGTTCATATAAGATTTGTTTGTTTCAATAGTTGAATAAGTATTGATAAAATTTTGAGAGCTTGTAATATAAATGAATATATTTGAAAATTGATTGGCTTATTTATTTATTTTTTTATATTTGCGAATATTTTTATTTGTGAAATAAATAAATTTGTCAAGAACTTGAGGAAGAAAGTTTTTTTAATTATTTTCTAATAATTTATTTTATATTATTATTATTGTGTCATGGAATATTCGTAACTATAGAGAAATATAAAGTTTAGCTTCTTAGTTTTGTACGAAGATTCAATACACAATCACATAAAAATAAATGGTGCAATATTTATAAGAGACATCAAGATTTTTATGTGGAAAACTATGAAAAGGGAAAGCCCACGGAGCCTAGCCTAGTTTAAATGATCCAATAGTATTTATAGTTGATTACAAATGAGGCCCTTCATTGGAGGAAAGGCATTGGCTTGATCTAAACAAATATACATCATATAGAATGCATGACATGGTGAAAATTGGAAGAATCAAAATTAATATATTCGTTTGGTCGGCAAGACCATAATTGCCGAGCGACGGAGGTAAGAAAGATCATATTCGGATGACAGTGGTCGGAAAGATCGTAGTCGGCGGGCGACGAAGGTCAAAAGAATTATTATCTGGTGACGAAGATTAGAAGGAAAATGTAATCGACATGTGATAGAGGTCGGAAAAATAGTTGTTTGGCGACAAAGATCGGAAGGATCGTATTCTGACGGCGGAGGTCAGAAGGATAGTATTTGAAAGGTGATAGTGGTCAGAAAGATCGTTGTTTGACGACGGAGATCGGAAGGACCATAATCTGGCGACAGATGTCGAAATGACTATAGTTGACTGGTGACAGTGATCAAAAGGTTGTTGTCTAGTGACAGAGGTTGAAAGGACCGTAGTAGGTGGCCAGGTGGAAGTTCAGCCTTAGACGGTGGCAGGGAAAAAGTCAAGCTTTAGTTGGTTGCCGAGCAGAAATCCAATGTCAGACGATGGCCAGGCGATAGTTCGGTGAAAGCCCAACGATGGTCGTTGGCCGGGAGATAGTCGAGGAGGAGCTTGGTCACAAGATTTCTCTTACTCTCCTCTGTTCTTTTCCTCTTTGCTTGGCCCCCTTTCCAGGAGATATGAGGGGTCTATTTATAGTTTTCTGAAAGTGGCATGACTAACAAATATGGAGAAATCAAGGGAAAGTTGGGAGTGGTTTGAATAAACGGGTGATGTTGATTCCCTTGATTATGGACTGTTTATTGGACATTTGAATGACTTAATAATATCGGAATTTAGCGAACTTTGAATCGTTGGATTTGTATCGTCGAGCCGCTCGATTTAACTATAAGCACATTACACTTGGAGTTAGTTTGGTAATATAAAGTATGATTTGAACCTTCCAAAGGTGCTTTGGATCCTTGATTTGGACCCATTTGGGCTTGGATTGAGTTGAATTTGGTGTCGTTGGGTTTGTATTTCTGAGACATTCAGTTCGATCGTAAGTTTGTTAAATTCGGAGTTCAGATGGTCACAAAATTAATTTTGGAAATTTTCAACTTAATTTTGCTTCGAGATTCGTGTCCGATCAAGATACTTTTTGATGATATATCAATTATATAAATATTTTTATATTTTATGCAATACATATTAATTACTTATATTACTAGAAATACAAATATGATGCAAATATTGAGCAAGTGATAGTTAAGCTTGATTATTGCTTATAGAATGATCCACAACTCTTGGTATCATCAATTTGCATGATTTATTTTGGCCTCTAATAGAACCTTAAGATGAGCTACATTAAAGGTCAATGTTAGACACCTTGTAATAGTCTCTCTTAAGTAATCTTCACAACAATAATTTTTTCTAGTGCTAAGAAGAGTTACCTTAGAATATTAAGGTTTTTTTTGGGACAATTTTCTTGATGGTTTCTTTAATATTTTTTTAGTATAAAATTTTCTTGAAATAGAAAATTTTATACTAAAAAATTGCTTTCGAAATTAATAAAAAAGTATCCCAAATACAGTCTAAATATAACAAAGGGAGGATCCACAGTAAATGCCTGGAGGGGGAGAAATTATTCCATCCGATCAAAAATTGAACGGTCTGAATGTATACCGAGCAATACCGAGTCCAAAATACTAAGTTTTTGATGACATGTCTCGCTTATTGGTCTCTGAACGCATTCGAACAACGGATGTAATAATTGCTCCTAGAGGGGCCCCCATTTTTTTGCTAACAAGGCATGCTCTCTCTCTCTCTCTCTCTCTCTCTTCATTATCTCTCCTCCCCTTCTCTCTCTTATTTATCTCTCCCTAACCTATCCTCTCTCTCTCTCCCGCACTATTTATTTGGGTTTTTTGTAAGGAGGGAATTTATAAATTTTTTTAACAAATCTAAGTAAATTAATTAGTTTAATTCTATTAACTTTATAATGTTGTATTATTTATAAATTTCTTTACTAATTGTGAATCATTATAAATCTATTATTTATATTTATAATTTTCATTATGTCTAATTAAAAGAAAAACTGAAATTTTCTACTAAGATTTAAATGAAGCACAACCGATAAAAGAGAAGAAAAAAACTAATAGTAAGAGGAGAAGATTAACATGCAAAGCATGCATAGTTGAAAAACAAATGTACCAAATAAAGTACTTAATCAAATAAAAGAAAATGAAAAATAAAAAGATCTTTAATTAAGATAACAAATTGACAGATGAAAGATAAAATAACCAGCAAAAATAAAAATAATACACTAATTCGAGGACTTGATAGATTAACACACTAATTAGTAATTATAATATTATAATAATTAAGAAACTAAACTCGCTTAATTAATTTAGTTTATAAAGGTTTTAAAATTACTATCAGCTAGAATCCTCATTTCAAATAAAAAAAATTGAAATTTTCTATTAAGATTTAAATGAAGCACAACCAAATGAAGAAAACTAACCGTAGGAGGAGAAGGTTTACACGAAAAGAACGTACAGTTGAATAACGAATGTACCAAATAAAGTTGTTGCGTCTGGGAGTATTCGCGGAGGTAGAGAAGTATAATATTTAACGTCTTAATTTTGTACGAAAATTCAGCATGCATACATATAAAGAGAGTGGGTGAAGCATTTATGGGGTACCAAAATTTTTACGTGGAAAACCTTTGAAAAAGGGGAAAACCCACGGGGCCTAGCCCAATTTGAATGAATCCACTATTATTTGTAGTTGATTACAATTGAGACCCTTGCCTCTTGCTTGGGTCCCCTCTCAAGAGAAATGATGCGCTATTTATAGTTTTTTGAAAATGGCATGACCCGTAAATTGGAGGATCAAGGACAAAGGTGGAGTGGAATGGATGGACGGCCGATATGGAATCCCTTGATCGTGGATCGTTCATCAGACATTTGAATGTCTTAGTGGTGTCGGAATTTGACGATCTTGGGCTCGTTGGATTCGTCTCGTCAAGCCGCTCGATTCGACTATAAGCAAATCATGTTTGAAAACCGTTTGGTAATCGGAATTGTGGTTTGAACCTTCCAACATTACTTCGGGTCCTTGATTTGGACTCATTTGGACTCGGATTGAGTTGAATTTGGTGTCGTTGGGTTCGTATTTCCTAGAAGATCAGTTCGACTGTAAGTTTGCTAAAATCAAAGTTCAGGTGATCCCGGAATTAATTTTTGAAGTTTTTAACTTGATGACATGCATATCAAAAGTTCTTAATCAAATAAAAGAAAACAAATATCCAAAAGATCTTTAAATATTGCGACTGATTGAGATGGCCAAGCAAACTCTAGCCATTAAGATAATCAATTTTACAGATGGAAGGTCACGATTTAAAAGTGAAATACATGTGGATGACTGCAAGAATTACAAGTGTTCACGAATATCAAAAATTTTGAGAGATAAAAGGTCATGATTTAAAAGCTAAAGACACGTGGATGGTTGAGATTTATTGTAAGAAGAATCACAATTAAGCCCCATTTTAATATTGATTGATTGATGATGAATTCTCATGCAATAAACATACCTCTTTTTTATTTAATAGGAGGAGAGTCTTAAATGAATAGTAATATTTAATTTGAGAAGAAGCACAAGAAATTTAATTTTTAAAGGCTAAGATCTAATTTGAACAACTAAAATGAATGATCAAGATTTGATATGAGTGGAGACTAAAATCACTTTTAAAATAATATTGGGAATATAAATTTTGGAGAAGATCTGAAGCTTAATTCATTTGTACTATAAAAGAAAGTAGCTATGTACAATGCATGACATAATTTTGTGAAGAAAAAAAAAAATCATCAACTTATAACTTAGATATAATGTATCTTAGTTTCCTTCTCCTTTTCTTCAGCTTCTCATTCATCGAGTTTTTTCACTCCTCACCACAAAAATTTACCTCCATTTTAGCTTCGGTAACTCCTTGGCTGACATAGGAAACTTTCTTAACTCAGGTGTTATTGCCTTCCCCTATGTCGGTCATCTCCCTTATATATAATGTACCATGGGTTAGCTACTTGGCTTGACCCAAGTGTCTAAAGAGAGATCTCCCTTCATCCAAATTCCAATCCTACCCCAATTGGATCAAACCAATGGTGGCATTGGGACCCCCTTGACCCAATACACCTTCCTTAGTTGACCCAACCCTTGGTTCAACTTGGGTTAGGAATTAGGCTAACC